AAAAAAAAAAAAAAAAAAAAAAAAAATTAGACAGATGAAATGGTAAGGTAAGCGGCCTATTAGATATGACCAGCCAGTATGTGGAGTCTTAGTAACTTTACTGACTAACATTTTAGCAAATAAATTGACATTCGATTTTTGTGAACCGAAGGCCAGAGGTTTAAACACGCTATACATTGTAACGCTGTAACACGCTGTAAAATTAACAACACAAAATATTGTCTATTTTGGGTCGTTTAAACCATTAAATAAGCAATTGTTTAAGCTCGTAGTACATGTATATGTTTGACGAAAAAAACAAAAAAAAAAACAAAAACAAAAACAAGAACATAAAAAAAAAATTGAAGAAAAAATTGATATATCGTATAAAAGGAAGTATCTGATGTTTGTCCAAGGTTACTGTCCTGTAATTGTATGAAATGTGTGCACCAGCTTTTTGTTAGTAGACAGCTTGTACATGTTCTAGTACGTCATGTGACAAACGGTTTTTTCTATTTTTTTAGCACTTGAACCCTTGATTCGAGGCATCGGAAGCCACAATGCGTTTGCCGTGCTTGCAGTAAACGCTTTCATTTGGGGTACGCTCGCTGCGTTGGCAATGGAAGAAAACGAAAACGATGTCCCTAAAAACGAAAGCGGAAGCGAAGACGTGTGTGAGCACAAAAATACCGTATTTCAGGCAACCAAAGAGAATGATAAAGATATGGAAGAACAAGTTGGAGACACAGACCTTGGTCTGATTGACAGTAATAAGGCCAGCACGGGGAATACAGAGAGCGAAAAAAGCCCTGCTCCCTCGAAAACACTGGTAGTGTGTACCTCCGTCCTGATATTTCTCACCTTATTTCTCCGAGGAGCTGTAGTCCACTCTTTACCCTTTATAATGGTAAGTTAACAAAATCACACAAGCTATTTTTGCTTAGGAGGTACTAAGAGTGTGTTAGTGGGCGTAAAGATGGATTCGTTCAGTTTCTTTATTTCTTGAACACTTATACCCTATGTGATAAATCCTGAAATCAAGTTTAGATTTTTTACTATGGCCGTGGGTAATTGTATTATATGTTCATCGCACTCAACAATTTCAGGTAAAACATCTTGTCCAAGAATTCAATATAACTTCCTTTCTGGCCGCGTCGACGGTGACCTTCTTTAATGTGTCAGATCTGTGTGGACGGTTGACCGTGGCGTTCATTGGGGACCGCCTATTTAAGGGACATTTGGTAGAAATGTGTGTGGTGTGCGCTCTCTTGCTGGGAGCTGGCTGCCTCGCTGCAAGGTTTGCTGTGCAGTTTTATCAGATGTTGATTTTCAATATCGGTAAGTTATAATAATAATAATAATAATAATAATAATAATAATAATAATAATAATAATAATAATAATGATGATGATTATAATACAACAACAACAAAATGATACTATCAAAACTTAGAAATATTATTATATGATTTTTGTTTTATTCTATTCCATCTCCTCAAATTGTATTTCAGGGGCCGGATACACCATGGGTTTTATCTCAGGTACCCGTTATTCCACTGTTGCAGAAGCATTGGATCACTGGTACGCCGACGACTTGTACTCTGTCAGTAGAGTGGGGGCGGGTCTGGGGGCCATCGTGGGAAACCTTGTGGCAGGTGAGTTCACTTATAAAATAAAAAGAGAAAAAAGAAAAAAATATATACATGTACATTTCTTGCAACATAAATAAAAGTGGGATGTTTTCAATGGCTGTTTTTTATTTTTTTATGTTTTTATTTATTATTATTATTTTTTTGTATGGACAGCATGGCTGTCAGAATACACATTTTAACGTACATGTGCAAAGCTACATGATTTTCTGAATTTTTCTCAAAGCTGATCAATTGCACAAAACGATATAATTATTCACTTTGGTAATTGTTGAAGAAACGCAGTTTATCATTCCCACATTTCCCCAGATATTTCACAGTTGTAAGAATGATTGATTTCTCAAGGCATCTGAAAAGAAAATAAATGTATCGATCAAGCTTTTGAATGTATCCGTTATCTTCCAGGTGCGCTGTATGACGTCACTGGTTCTTACAGAATATGTTTTGTCGTTAATCTTGGATTCTGCTTACTCGTCGCCATGGGGTTTGGAACGTTGATGCTCCTGAGAGATCGTTTCCTAAGAAGAACACACTTATTACATTCAGAAGGCACAGTGGAAAGTTCGTTGCAAAAAGGAAATAATGAAAATGTGACATGGACGAAAAAACTGCATTTTGAATTGCTATCACAGTTTGTTCAAATACGACGAAAATGTCGAGAAAAATCAGACGAAAAAATACCTCTGAATGATATGGACTCAAAAGTAAAGTATCACACGGATAACAACTCTTCGTTGGAGTAAATGTACCTTCTTCTTTTTGAAACTTATCTTTGAATAGATCAACGCAGTATTGAAGTATATTGTAGATTGAGTCTTTATAAAACGGAACATGCAGTTTTGCCGCCAGTAGATATACGTATACCACATTGAGAAAGTTGTTAAGGCAAACAAAAGTCCCAACAATGTCTCCATAAAAAGTCCTGTGAGTAAGATGTCATTCAGAACAAGATGATCTGCGGACTAAGAGCTCCACAGACCAAATATGGCCGACTCATTTAAAAGAAGCACCGACTTCTTCCATGATGATCTCCTCGCCTCCACCGCGCCGTCGTTGTAGGGGCCTTGGAATTACTCAGAATTGATTTTTAATCAGATTAATTGCGCGTGTGGAGGCAGGGAGCCCATCAGAGGACTTAGCGGCGCTGCTCTGAATTTCTGTCGGCCATATTTAGTCGGTGGATCAGTTAGTTCTCGGTTAATCTGTTCTGAATCGCCCCTTAAACTCTCCGCCGAAACGGGTCACGTTGAATGTGGCTCCACCAAACACGTGCAATAAGGTAGAACTTAACGTTGTCAAAGGGTTGATTCAGAACTCACCACTCTCACCACCCTGTATGGATGTACACATGTATAGCGGCGCGTGCATCCTTATTCAAATGAGACCGTTAAGGAATATTTATAGCAGAAAAAATCCGTTCATACATCAATTTTCGTGAAATATGAAACGGTTTTCTTTGGTACTATTTCTTTAAGTTATACTGTTTGAAGCTATATGGTGTCGTTAGGTCGGGTTTTGCGACAAAAAATTAACTTTATATTCCTCTGAAGTAATCTATTTAGCACTTTGTCACGCCTTATCTAAGTACAGGGTAAATATTTAAAGTTTATGATTTATCTCCCCCGACCATTGCACTACAGAATCAATTAACGAAATAAAATGACAAACGCAATATGTTGGTTGGTTGGTGTTTATTGTTGTCAAACCCTAATGAGATGTTTTAATTTTATTTTAACTTATTGACTTTGAATATAAAATTGCGTCTGTTATTGACGTCATGAAAAGTAATTTAGTTTTAGATCTTAAAATCAATCAGTTAACCCGATCCTTGTTACATCAATAAATTCCATTCTTGTCTTAACAAAATGGTTCCCGTATTACAGGTAATTGATTCCTAACAAAATAATTCTTCCACTTTAAAACTTTCAATAGTTAAGTTTATGGATTTTTAAAAATATTAATTAAAATCAAATTCAGCTAATTTTCGATTGTAACCGTAATTTTTGTTTTGCAATATGACAAATTTAAAACATTAAAGAAATAATATTTGAAATCTACAACTTTACAACATACATGAAATTGCAAGTCAAATTGTGTAAATTGCTAATTTAACCGTAAATCAGAAACCAGAAATCCATTAATAATACGTGCAGTTGTATCATAATGTTTTTCTTCATTAATTTATGCTTAATATATTATAAATAATGTATTCCAGATAATTTAAAATGTACATTTCACCAATCATCATATGATTGGTCAATCATACACAAATGCTCAGTATACTATGAATGATATACATATACATTCCAACAGACTGGTAAGTTTCTGAAAATATTGATAACAGTCATTTTTGTATTTACATGAAACAAATGCATTACTTTTGGGAAATCATCGACCTTTGAAGCAATACATCATCTAATATTAATTTATCTAATAGATAATAAACGTATCTGATTAAAAAAATTCTTGCTTCGGCAAACAATTTCAAAGACCGTGTTCTGTCAGAAAGTAAAAAAAAAGTCATGTCAGTTTCCCTGCCTCAGAACTTAATTACCACCGTTTCATACTCACATTCGTAGATTTGATCAGAAACAGTGTTACAGCACTCTCATGGAAATTCTAGTAAAGCCAGGCAACCGACTTAAGTTTTTTGTGAAGATTTCAAGGCCTGTTACAGCCTACATACGGGGCAAAAAAGGGAATCGGAATGCACCGTTCATTACTGGAAAGTTTTAAAACTATCCTATTTTTCTTAGATTCGGAAATCCTTCTTACAAATCTTCATAAATCAAAAGATCAAAATTATATAAAGCGTATTACAATCTGTAAAATGAAAACATGAAACGTTCATGAATATGTGGCACAAGTAAAATTATACTTTAACATTGTTTAACTTACTTTTTCACTTGATAACCCTAACTCAAAAGCACTTAGAAGTGCAAGCCTCCACCACGACAACCCAATTATCAATTAATCAACAAAGAATCGCCAACAAAACCGAATCGATTCTAAGGTAGCCCATTTCTGACTTATCCTGAAAATTTTATTAAATTGCGTCCATTACTTACTAGTTAGATTGCTAACCAACAAAATATCAAAGGCAAAAAATCACGTTGGAAGAGGCTACGACGTCAACACAACTATTTCAGACGAATTTTACTATATTTAACTTTACTATAATTAAACACGTAGAATTATTTCACAAAAGATAACAAGTAAAATATCCACGTGTGAATTGATTTAGCCAAAGTAGTAACCGATTCTACATCTTTAATGCTATTAGCCATAGCTACATGTAAAAATCCCACACCGCTGCCACCATCACCATCAACATCAAAAGTCTAACGTTACCGATATGGATATATCCTCGGTTCTGCTTCGGGGTTGTGATCGGTGTCTTGCCAGAAAATGGTGGCACGGAGCTGTGGGTCGTGTTGTTCTTTGTGCACGCAGAGAACGATCCTAAACGTATACCGATAGGCCCTCCAGATATCTTCAACTGCACTTTTTGCAGAGCATTTTCCATCCATGCTTGCACTTGGTTAAACACGTTACGACCTTCCTCGTAGTGGGCTAGTGTCGTGTGAAGAGTGACCATTGTTTCAACGACAAAGGTGATGGACGTGTTATCCGCGCCGTGTTTCTGACTACAGAAAGAAACACGTGCCTGTACAGATTTCAGTACATCTGTTAATTGACGAGTACGCGCAATACCCATACAGCCATCTTTTGGTGATGGAGCCCAGCCACATGGTTCAAAATGTAAAGGGATGATGGACTTTACTACCGTAAAGTTGTAAAAAAGGGCGCGGCAGCCCTGGTCATCAGGGACAAAACCAGGGGGGCACATTACCTGCTGATCTAAAGACTGAAAAAAAAAAAAAAAAAAACAGGCACAATTAAGGACAGCAGTTTACATCCAGAAAAAAAATACTAACAATAATTACATTAGAAGATTAATATAACCATAGAGGGTAAGGATTAGAAAAGTGAAGATATCAAATATATTTATCTGCTATTATTATGATTATTGTTGTTAGTTTTCTCACCCTAATTATCCCGTCATCACTCTGTTTCCTGTCTTGGTCTCCCAGGTACAATAGGGCACGGAAAGAAAGACCGAAGAATCTCTCTGATGGCGGCGGGACATTCTTATCTGAAAAAAATCAATATAATGAATTAATTAGATGACATGTAAGCTTGCCAAACACTCAACAATGCGTTGTTCCACTAATCAGGTCTATGTAGTCTAAACTATTCGCTTTAGGAGGGCGGAGTCGAAATTAACACGTCTTTCATCTCGGGTTTCGTGAGTAAGATGTCACATCTTAGACGTTCAAAAGTGAAAACTTATTTGAATTGAAATTTCACCCTTATCCAATAATGTTATTTCCATCCTCATAAATTGAATCAAATGATAATGCACATGTTCAAATGAACTTAAACATTTTCGTTGAGGCTACGACGAGGGCGAAGTGGATAAACACACCTTTAGGCAACATATCAAATATAAGATAAACATAAATATTGGTAACATAGCAGCTCTAAGACTCAAGAAAATGTAAATATTATCATTAGAAAACTTGCATTTAATTTTGAAGGTTCAAAAAACTTGGACGTTGAGAAAATCAGGAAGGCGAGTTGACCATGCTAATAATTAACACCATCAATGTACGTTTCTGACATTTTCCATATGAATTTTCTAATAACCAAACGCAACACTCACCTCCACAGACGGTAAAACCCCCATAACAAAGCAAGCAGTGGTAGTTCTTGTAACTTTCATCAAAACCGCCTATAACAAGAGGGTTGTTGTACGCCATGCAGGCATCTCGTAAAGCTGAATGCAAGGGGAGTGGACGAGGCACATGGCGCACGCTTCCATTGATAAAATGGAACTCGCAAGGACCTAAGGCATCCTCCTCAGCTTCCCGGAAGCATGTCCTTAAATTCCATT